AAATAATAGTGGATTTAGTACACTGAATAAAGATTCTTGTCTATGCTCCAATAAATAGAGCTACTTTCAAAATTTCTGATCATTTATTTGCAAATTAAATAGAGAGAGAGTTAGGAAATATTTGCAACTCAGATTAGCTGAGTTTTGTCATACACTGAGTGGAGAGGAATAGGTTAAGTTGGCAATCCTAAATATAGGTCCATTAAACTTGTCTACAATTTTGTTTACTATAAAACTGGTCCATCACATGGCAGCAGCTCACTTTAACACTTAACAATGCAACAGGTGGATTTTTGCCTGTATGAAGCGGAAGGGAAAAATGCTTATTATTTATAGAGAAGTCAAGATTACACACTGCATTTTGAGATGTTTTCAGAATAAAGACAACAGGAATGTTCATCTGCAGGAAGTGATTTCCCTTACACCAGACTTCCTTTAAAAACATGTTACAGCTTGAAGTCACAGCTTACACTGGTAAAGTCGTGTTATTGAAGGAATTGTTAGTACCAGACTATCATATTTCTATTCTTCTACAGAGAATAGGCAATACAGATAATTCTAGGGGGTTTTTTTGACAAAAAACAAAATTGTCTTGTTGCTTCTGCGCTGGTAAAGTGAGCAGGGAATAATCCTGAGCTCTGTCACTCTGTCATGTGATTATTCCAGCTCTTCAACCAGTAGGATCCATGGCATGGGTCATGCTCCAGCTCATTGCTTCCTCAGACAATCCCTGGATGTGCTGCAAGGTCAGCACCTGCCAGGATCATGAGCAATAGAAAGTTTGGGTTGGAACTGTCTGTTTTGTGGAAATAAGGAAGACCAGCTGTAAGGCCATAGACTGCATCATGATCACAAATGTGCCTGATCTATTTGATTTGCACAGATGTTGCAAATGAGAAGAGAGGGAAAACCTACTCCTGGAAATATTTTTGTAGAAAAAATAATATTCACTAGGTGAAAATTATACTTCTGTGAGTACTTCATTAACAGCAATCAGGTTTTGTATAAGATTAAACTGAATATCCCTAGAACAGCTTCTCCTTTCGTGCCACATTCCCTCACTGCAGCCTGAAAGAAATGAGGAATATTTGAGCTACTTGCTAGTGGGATCAGAAAAAGACACTTGGCCTTCTGTTTGTGTTTGAAGCCAAAAAAGAAGAATGGTAGTATGGGTATGTGTGCTGCTAGAAGATTGATTTGTCATGTGAAATAGGTAAGAAAAAAAAGGAATCAAGAACAAAAGGCCATTGTTGTGTTTAAGTAATTATCTATTTATCTCTTGTGTGTTGTTTTGCTTGCTTGGTTTGTTTTCACTGGTTCTTCCTAGGTACTAATCTTTCAGTTCTACTTCTTTTTTCTTTTTTTCCTCCTGCCTGTTGATTTTGCCTTTATCTTTTGGAGGGAAGTTGTGAAATTGTTGGTTTCATATTCGCAAGCATGAAAGCTTGGTATTTTATCATCAGTATTCACTGCACTATTCAGATAAGAATTCACTCTGAATATAACCCTGTGTGAGGAGATTTACTGCAAATTACTGCTCTCTGTGCAAGGTTAAAAATGCCAATAAGATACTGGAGGCTCAGAGATAGTGCTCAGTCAACACATAAGGGTCAGCTAAATAAGTAAAAGGCAGATTGCTTTCTATCACACTGATAATTTCTATTTCATTTGGCATTTTGTCCCTGCTTAATTATATATTTTATCTAAGTCAAGTAGAATCTGAGAAACTTTTAATTAGGATTTTTGTATTTAAATAAAAAATCATTAAAATCATTTCCATGCAAAAGAGTGGAAAATTTTGAGTTTGTATTGAACAGATCATGCTAATGCAAGCAGCCACATGAAAAGATGTCTCTAAATTGTCTTTTCTTTTTCTCAAAGTGTAAGCAGTCACAGTGTCAGCACATTTCACTTACAGATTCTTCATGCAGATCTGAGAGTTTTTCAATAGTATTCATCTCCAAAAAGGATCAAAGTGATTAATAACCATCTATTTCCTGTCTCTAAGTCCTTAGAGCTTGCAGTTGTATTAATTTGCTTCCACTGACTCCCCTTTTCCTAAGTACATCAGACTCTGCATATGTCAACATGAACACAAATATCTGTGTGGACAATAAATATATTTGGATATCATAGCACTTAAATCACAGATATTTGCAGTTTTGTTAATGGGATGACTTCCCTGGGCTGTGGTGGAGATGGTGCAGCGGGGAAGAGAAGCCAGTTGGGTTAACATGGGTACCCAACATGGGTCCACAACCTCTTTGTCCTGCTGGGAGCTTTGGTAGTGAGCACAGGCTCCTGCTGGGAGACTTTCATGGGCTTCTCCCTGCTCCATGAGCCCCCCAGATGGAGAGATGATCCCCAATCCTGGAGCATGTCTGGGAGACTTTCCTCCCTAGAGCTATTTTTCAGACACTTCTGGTACTCCTAGTACCCCAGCACACCTGAGCATCCTTATCTTAAGTACTGGATAAAGAAAATGTTTGTTGTTTTCTTATTTGCTTCACTATTGGTGGTGTTCATGATATGCTTGTTCTGGACACTATGAGTAGGACTTCTTGAAGATTTATAAGTTGTTTTGCCAGTTTGGCTACTTCCCTGGTTATAGCAAAACGATCCTGCTGCCTGAGACAGGGGGATGATCGTGTTTTCAACCTCAAATCTTAGACCTCAGATTTATGAAGAATCTGAGTGGGATTCAACACATAAATAGATTTTTATCCTGTTCTGGAAGGAGATCCAGAAATTCAGTCTGGACTATATCAACGTGTATTATTTTAGTCTGTACTTGACCTTCAAATTCTAATGCCTTAAGTAGAGAAATTTGTAACCAAGGAAATGTGAATTATTTCCCTTATTATTCAGTAAATTTGACTCAAACTACAGAAAGCACCCATTCATTAGCACTCTAAAACTAGAATGTTGTCCTACTTCCTTTCACATAATTTCTGTCTGTCTTTGATAAATGACTTATAGCTTCAATGTCAGATATCATGGATATACAGACCATAGTAGAAGAAATAAAAAGAAAAAAGCAATTATGGTCCTTGACAAATATGAAGAAAGATTTATGATTTCTCTTTCCTCTGTAGATGAAATGTTTCTTGCAGAACTATAGTACATTTCCCAGCAGTTCCCTCTGAAAAGAGTTATGATGAGAGGGGGTGGTTGTTCTGTCAAAGATCCCGGATTGTCATGATTATCTTTGGTTTTAATCAACAGTTTTGATACCTTTCAGACAGACCTAATTCTGAGAAAGTGCCGATAAGAATAGTGATAATGTTATGATTAATGCACATAATCAGGACTAGAAAGACCAAAGTTAATACTGTAGGTTGGCTACAGAATTGTCTACCCTGTTTAAAACAATGCTCAAGATTTCCTAAGCTTAGTTAGACCCTAGCCAGGCTAAGTATTGGAGAAAATATGAACATGGATTTTTAGTGAAAGAGAGACAGTGATTAGAAATAATCAGTTAATTCCAAATGAATTCTTTGGTCTCTACTGCAGAAGTAAAAATTAGATCCTGCATGACTTTTAAAGATAATACTTAATTTTCCATTCTTTGAGATTATATTTTCTGGATTTCTTCTTTCTCCATCTGCAGCCATCTGAAGTATACCAAATAAACAACCATGCACAAACCAGAAGAGTTTCTTATGTTGCTATAGATTCAGATTTGTTGCAGGCAGGAGTCATCCAACCAAAAACTTGCAAGGAAAACATTCTGTGACATTTTTTAACAATTTAAGTTGAAAAACTAGGTGTGAAATTGTGAAGGTGAAAACAGCAATGAAATTGTTCAGAGTCTTTTACTATAAATATGTGATTGATTATTATCTGTCATAGTACCAAAACAATTGGTGGCTGGGGAAAGAGAAGGAAACTTGACTTGGTGTAGATAGAAATTAAGATTAGTTCAAAGCCTTCTGGTGTAACTATATCACATTGGCAAAATTATATGGTTTATGGACTGTTAATTAAATCTCCCTTTTCTGTGTCATTACAAATGTCTTTATCCAGACAACCAACCCATAATTATCTGATGACTGTACATGGCTTACTGATGCAAAGGTAGACTCAAACAACTCAAAACTTGGCAAATATGACAATAAAAAACAACCACAACCAGAATACTTGTCAACTATTCACAAATAAAATTTAACTTACAATCAATTAATAGTCCTTGCATTTTCTGTAATCATGTAATGAAATACTTTTATAAATATAGAGTGCAACCTCAGCCAGTCTGCTAGTGACACTGGCACCAGGCTATGTGATATGATCAACCACCTGAGCAAACCTCATGAAGTTGAATCAACAAGGCCAAGCACAAGGTCCTGCACCTGGCCCAGGGCAATCCCAAGCACAAGTACAGCCTGGGTGGAGAATGGATTGAGAGCAGCCCTGGGAAAAAGGACTTGGGAGTATTTGTGGATGAAGACCTGGACATGTGCACTCGCATCCTAGAAAGCCAACCACTTCCTGGGCTATATCAAAAGATGATATGGTTCAGATTAGATAATGGGGGAAAAATCACTAAGAGAGTGTCGCTACAGGACACGTGAAAGCACGATGCGAGCCACCTGCAAGGTAAAGAAGAAAGTTTATTTCTCCAACTCCAATTTTATACTTTCCCAAAGGTGACATTGGATTGGAGAGTGAATGGGCCACCTCTCCAAAGACATTGGACAAACCACTAGTACATCAAGTTTCTCCACCCCCATAAAGAAACGCAAAACAATATGTTTATGGAAATTGTGTGGGAAAGTTCTCCAACAGAATGTAAACTCAGAAGGCTTTAGAAAATCTTAAGAATCAGGGTGACAAGAGAGGGGTTAGACACTGGAATAAGCTGCCCAGGAAGATGGGGGAGTCATCATCTCTGGAAGTGTTCAAGAGGTGTCTGGATGTGACATTTGGGGATATGGTTTTGGGGTGATTATGTTGTTGCTGGGTTGACAGTGGGACTACATTATCTTGAATATCTCTTCCAGCCTTGAGGAGTCTGCAATGAGCACTGTGACCAGTGGGTCAAGGCGCTCATGAGCCCTCCCCTGGAGTACTGTGTCCTGCTCTGGAGTTCTCAGCATAACAAGGATATGGATCTGTTGGAGCAAGTCCAGGTGAGGTCACAAAGATGCTCAGAAGGCTTGAGCACATCTCCTATGGAGACTGAGAGTTGGGGCTGTTCAGACTGGAGAATAAAAGACTTCTGGAAGAACTTTTGTCACCTTTCAGAACCTAAAGGGGATTCTAATGTGCTGGAGAGGGACTTTTAAAAGGACATATGGCAATAGGATAAGGGTAAATGGCTTCAAACTGAAAGAAAGCAGATTTATATCAGATAAAAGGAAGAAATTCTTCATTATGGGGTTGATCAGACACTGGCACAAGTTGCCCAGAGAAGTTTTGAATTCACCATTCCTGACAGTGTTCAAGGCCAGTTGGATGGGGCTTTGAGCAACCTGTCCTAGTGGAAGGTGCCCCTGCCCATGGGACACCTAGAAGGTCTTCATGGTCCCTTTAAAGCAAATCTATTATATGGTTTTGTGATTCTACATTCAAAGACTTTTATTAAGGTAGAACCACCTATGGATTCCTTGATTCTGTCTGGCTGATAAAGTTATCAAAGATAGGGATTTTTATTTGATAATAACTTTAAAACTAAAAGAAATCTCATTATTGTTACTATACTATGATTGATTTAATAATAATTATATGGTAATTAGCTTTGCCCAGGAAATAAAAGCTATATCTGTGACATTAAAGTCTATATATTATAATGTAAGCAAAGTCTTTCATAAAATGAGTTGTGCAAGGATGCATTTCTCATCACGTGATCCATAAAAGGAAAATACTTTCATTAAATAGCTTTGAGCTCCAGCAGCTCCAGATAAAAATTCGGTACTCTTAGAACAATGTTGGCTTTTTCTCTATATAGTCTCATTATCTGGTCCATAACTTCTAGTATACATAACATTATTAGACTCCATTACAAGAAGCATTAAAATAGATCAGTAGAATATTTTAACAGTTAACAGGCAGAAGAATATTATAAAAATTTAGATTTTTGTGTCACTATAAATGCTCACTAAATCTTGATTTTCTTATTTGCTTGAGTAAATAAATTGTAATTGTTATGAGAGTTCAGACAGCTAAGATGATTTCTTTTTGCTATAGTAACCTATATTTGCATAGCACCTCTCCTCTAAAAGGGTGACTACATGTGACAGGTAAGTATTGCTTATATTTCTCTCTTCCCTTTACCCTTCAGTCACACCATCTTAGCCTCTCTTTCTTTTTGTCTACTATGTTACACCCCCTTCAGCATTACAGAAGGCCTACTGCTGATGGCATTGCTATTGTACTATTTATAAACAGAGAATGATAGTGAAATGGGAAAGGATAATTACTAAATATCAGAAAAGGCGACACGTGAAAGCATTCTATTGTTCTGCTATTACTGACATTCAATTTCTGTGAAAAAAATGAAGAAAACTGAAATTATTTTTCTTCACAATATCCACTTGTTCCAGTGCTATCACAACTGCTTTTGTAATAAAAGATTATTAAACACCTTAAAGTAATCAGATAATTAATTCTGGAAAAAGCACATGGGATAGAAGGGAGAGTTTTTGTCTATAGTACAAAACTTTTATCACATCTACACAACATTGCCATCCATCAGACCAATTTCACTTGATTCTCTATGTATTTAATTTGAATTTTTTTTCCTGACTTCTATCTCTTGCTGTGGTGTTTTGAATGCCCACCAAAGCCACTTTATCACTGCCATCCTCACCTGGGCAGGGGAGAGAAAATGCAACAAAAGGCTTACGGATGAAATAAGATCAGGGAGAGATCACTCCTCAGTGACTGTCATGGGCAGAACAGACTGAGCCTAGGAAATTAGTTAAACTTATTACCAATCAAAAGCAGAGCAGGATAATGAGAAGTAAAACAACTTTTAAGACACTTTTCCCTTACCCCTCCCTCCCTCTAGCTTAATTTTATTCACAGTTCTTTATTCCTCCCTCCCAGCAGCTCAGGGAGGTGTGGAAAGGGGGTTATGGTCAGTTCATCACGTGCTGTTTCTCCTGTTGCTTCCTCCTCAGGGAGAGGAGTCCTTCCTCTGCTCCAGCATGGCGTCCCTCCCACAGGAGACAGGCTTCCAAGAACTTCTGCAGCATGAGATCTTCCCATGGGCCGCAGCTCCTTGTGAGTGGGTCCCTGCAGTGGATCCCTCCCAAGGGATGCAGTCCCTCAGGACAGGCTGCTCCAGCATGGGTCCCCCATGGGGTCACAAGTGCTGCCAGCAAACCTCCTCCAGTGTGGGCTCCTCTCTCCATAGGCCACAGGTCCTGCCAGGAGCCTGTTCCAGGGTGGGCTTCCCACAGGGTCACAGCCTCCTTCGGGCACCCACACCTCTGCTCTGGGGTCCTCCACGGGCTGCAGGTGGATCTCTGCTCCCCCATGGTCCTTCATGGGCTCTGGGGGCACAGCTGCCTCACCGTGGGCTGCACCAGGGGCTGCAGGAAATCTCTGGCTGAAGCACCTCCTGCCCATTCTCCTGCACCAACCTTGGGATCTTCAGGCTTGTTGCTCTCATGTGTTCTCACCACACTCTTCTGTGTCCACAATTGCTTCTTCCCACTATATTTATTTTTCCTTCTTAAACATGTTATCACAGAGCTGTTGCCACCACTGCTGATCGGCCTGGCCTTGGCCAGCAGTGGGTCCATCTTGGAGCCAGATGACCTTGGCTCTCTTGGATGTGAGTAAGCTTCTGGCAGCTTCTCAGCCCTCCCTACTGGACCCTTTGCTATGAGAACACTGCCAAGCAAATCCAAAACATTTGCTCTCTATCCAAAACAGAGGGACAACAGACAATTCAGCTGTCTGAGCATGAGCATTCCTGTCCACTTGAGTTAGCCTAGAGATGCCTCCAGCTGCTGCTGCAGAACAATGCGAGACGTGCCAAGACACATGCTGCAATTGTCAGAACCATGCAGGTGTTTGGGCAGAGTGGGACATCTCAAACCACGTGTTTAGGGGTCTGAATTGAGACCACACATATGCACATTTTCAGAATATAACTCATCCTCTTTCTTTGAACCATGTAGCTCACAATGATGAAGTGCATTAGGAGAAGGTACCTACCCTTTCTCTCCATTTAGCAGAGTTCTGGGAATTCACTTCTGTGGCTATGCTTGCCAATAAATATGTGTTCATCATGACAAAAATGGAAAAAAATTATTCAAACAGTAATATTTCATAATATCAAATTTAAAAATTGAATCCAAATTAGAAGCACCACCAACATCCAGTCTCCCCAAAAGTGTCAGTAGATGTTAAGGTTATCCTCCCATTGTGAAACTTAATCTTCTACTAGGAAAAGTCCATTGGAGATTAATTATGAGCAATGTCCTATGGGAAATTCTTTAAAAAGAAGACTGGAATACTTTTTGTGTTGCTGTTGCTATTGTCAGATATGTCAACACAGAAGATAATGAACTTTTGGGAAGAAACATCTATTGGATATTTTTGCAAGTATGTTAATAAACCACACAAAATTGTATCTACCATAAAAAAATGAAGCTGGCACTGAAGTCCCAGCAACTAAGTAGTTCAAAAGTTAGAAAGTTAGACAGAGTTTAATTTCTTCCTCCAGTTTAGGCCTTTTTCTTTTTTTAATTTGCAATAATATTTGGCCACTAGTGTACATTTCCTGAGTGATCTGTTCAGGTTTATACAAACATACCTTAATAGTCTTTGGAGCATGGATTAGAAAAGAGGCATTTGACTTCTCACGGGCCTGTCCTAACCCCCACCCTGCAGAGTTGGTCTGGTGCCCCATTGCAGACTGTGGCTGCTTCCACAGAAGCTCCAGAGCCAGGCAAGGATCCAGTACAGTAGCTGAAGGTAAATCCTATAATTATTATTTTAGGTAGTATGAAAAAAGGCAAAAGATTTTTGAAAAATCATCATTATGCTGAATCCAAAGCAATTACTCAAACAGCTAATAATCCATTGCTTATTAGTACAACATGTTTTTTTCAAGCATCTGGATGTGGGTGTTAAATCCCAAACAGCTGTTAGTGATTCCCTGGTGTATTCCAGTATTTTTATTATTGTAATCCATGTATCTCTTGAATATTAGAAGCATTTTAACACATAGAGTTACCAAGCAACTGCTCAAGATAGCTTTATTATATGCACATTTCTTGCATGCTTCATGAGGCTGCTCTGTGAACAAAATTATCAAAGCACAGGAACAGAAGACAAGCTGGAGAAAGAGACCAGCTAAAGGAGACAGCAATTTTAGAAGAGTAATGCTATGAAACTCACTCTATTTAATAAACATCAAAGACTCAAAGAGCATAGAGGCTGTTAACCTTCTACAGCTCCAGGCTTCACATTCTGACATGTGAGTCTGGCTGCAAGCTTCATGCCACAAAAAGGATTCAAAAGACTTAAGTCTTTCTATCTTGGCCCTAGAATTATACTTGTGTAGAGGATACTCTCAAACGTTCAACCTTAAGTAAAAACCCAATGACCCCAACATACATGAGCAGCTCAATATGACAGTTTGTATATGGTAGTAGTGCTTCTACAATTCAGTGTCAGTATTCCTCATTCTATTTAGTCTGGTTTTTGCACCCTTTGGTTGTACCTCATCATATTTTTAGGCATTTCTCCAATATCAAGAGGGCTCAGACCTTGCATCTTTTATAAAACTCAGATATTTCCTGTAATCACATGATTTCTTAAAGCTGCAGTGCTAGGAAGCAAGCAACTACATATTTATTTCATATATTGATCAGCATACTTTGATTATGGTAAGATTCTAAGAAACTGTCATACCATTGTATTTTTAGTGAACTGCCATTTATATACGCATCAATGTTTAAACTGTAACAAATATAAAATTTAATTAGATATTTGAGGAGACTATGGTAATAATATTCCTTTCCAGAAAATTAGGTGTTTCTGAGAATGATGATACCAAACAAGACTAGTGCATAAAAAAGTGAATATATGTGGCATGAAATGTTGTTCATTGAAAGAATTTGGGGTTTAAGGGTAAGTATTTTATTAGAAAATATGATTTTTTTTCAGTCTG